GTCGTTTGCTACTCAGGGTTCCGATCTCAAATACCTGAATACAAGGTACGGCGCCGACAATCCCCGCGGAAGCCCCGTCGCGCGTAATAACACCAGCAGTACGCATTCCGTCCTGTCGATCATGTCAGCATGTCACCAATACATAACAGCACAATAAAACATATGTACTCACCTTGCGGTACACAACCAACCTCTTCGCTGTGAAAAGACGTTTGCCTACAGGCGATGATAGCAACTCGGTGTGGAATTCAGCTGTGAGCTTTCGATATTCCATAGCGGCGTTATGGCAGGTCAGCAAATCCAAGTCACAGATATCACATGGTGTCCGTTTGATCTTTGCAAGACTAGCCTCAGATACCTGAACTTGCTTCTCGTGTTGCGGTAAGAGAGCCTGTGTTGCGTTTTCACTGAAACTCCGCTTGATCATTTCCTCAATCTTCAGGGCTTCCACACGCAACAGATTTAGTATCATGTTGTAGGTCAGTCGGAATTGAGACCGGAGCTTTGTCGGGTCTCCGAGAATCATCTGTTTCAGCGAGGCTGCAGATGGGGCCTCGTCCTTTCCGCTGTTTGTCACGATAACATACCCCACCGTGTCAAGACCTCTACGACCAGCACGTCCCGCCATTTGCGTGTATTCGCCGGGTAGGAGATCACGGAAGCTTTTGCCGTCGTGCTTACGGAACCCAGAGAATACGACAGTTCGAGTAGGAAGATTCAAACCCATCGCGAAAGTCTCTGTGGCAAACAGAACCTTGACCAAAGACCTAGCGAAGAGAATCTCAACAACTTCCTTCATGATAGGCAGAAGACCGCCATGGTGTACAGCAATACCTCTGCTTAGTAACTCGCGAAGGCGAAGAACTTGCGGTAGCGTGCGGTCCTCAGGCTTCAATCGGGTGAGTGACTTTTCAATGAACATGTGTGTCAAACTCTTCTCGTTGGCATTGCTGAAATCTTGATTTGACAGTGAATCCGCGTTCTCCTCGCATCGCTTCTTAGAGAAAACGAAAACACATGCCGGCAGCAAGTCTTCTTGACGAAGATGGGAAACAAGATGCACCCAAGTGTTCTTGTCCTGGGCCGCACTTGTACGACCACCACCACGCCCTGTGCGAGCAATGTTTCCGGTTCCTCGGTTGGAGTACTGTCCGCCGCTCTGTCCCCGACCTCGTTGGGGACCTCCACGTTGTGGACCTCCACGCTGTGGGCCGCCGCGACCACCTCTGATATTCGCTGGCTGACCACGCCCCCGACCCTGAGGGGCTGGTGCTTTAGCTTGCGCCGACTGCGCCTGAGCTTCAGCCTCCTTCTTGGCTTTGGCTTTATCTTTGCCGGACAGAATATCATCGGCTTCCTTCCAGCCGCTCTCAATGAATCTTTTGTTGGAGTCAACGATCTTGTGCTTGCTCTTCCCAGCCCAGAGGTAGTGCTCCAGAGGAACAGGTCGCTTATGAGTTGAAATCACATAAATGTCCTTCTTCTTTGTACGGCCCACCCAAGAAGCAAACTCGCGGGTATTGGGCACAGTGGCAGAAAGAAGAATCAATGTGACATGCTCTGGAAGCATAATGATGACTTCTTCCCATACCACTCCTCGTTCGAGGTCGTTCACATAATGCACCTCGTCGAAAATGACGAATTCAACGTCCCGGATGAGATCAGCGCCTCGGTACAACATACTTCGCAAGATCTCAGTGGTCATGATGAGACAGCTGGCTTCTGGGTTGATTTGAACATCACCTGTCAGAATACCGACATCGTCGAATTCGGTTCTGAAATCACGGTATTTCTGGTTGCTCAGAGCTTTAATGGGAGACGTATAGATGGCTTTGGTCATGTGCTTCGCAGCCAAGGCGATTGCATATTCAGCCACAACCGTCTTGCCTGCCGAGGTATGCGCCGCAACAAACACCGAATCGCCATTCTCAAGGTGGTAAACAGCCTCCTTCTGGAAAGTGTCGAGCTCGAATGGCCACTCTCTGGCCATATCTGGAACCAATTCGTTGAAGTTCGGAATATCCTTGTTGATGTCGACAACGTGGGCCCATTCTTTGCCCTTTTGCCTGTGAACGCCTGCGAGCAACTGGCTACGCGGTTCTAATGCTGGGAACTCAACCGGTAGCAAAGCGTCAATGTCTTCTTCTTCATCTTCTTCGTCGCTGACATCATCATTAAGCTCGTCCTTCGCTCCTGTATCGACATCCGCAGTTTCGTCGGGTTGATCCACTTTCAGGTCGCTTTCCTCGTGAAGAAGGGCGGTTTCGACTTCTTGGGCACCCTCGGTGGCATCCTTGGATTTGGCTTCATCAAAATCGACGCCGTTATCGAAGCCAGGGGGTGTGGTCAGAAGACCTCCCTCGGTGCCAAAGTCAATGATGCGATCGAGCCCAGATTGTTTCCCGTTGCTCGATTGTTCAGTGAGCTGAGCGTCGGCCTCCATTGCTGCCAAGGCCTCGATAGCATCCAAGCCACCGGGGGCGAACGGAAAGAAACCCGCGGCACCTCTGACAAACTCGGCACGGCCAGCAGGTCGGCGGAGAAGCGAGGTCGAATTCTTAGCTGTTGCGCTTGCAGCAGGAACCGTGACCTCTTGATATCCAGTAACGCGTCCTTCTAGTCCCTCTCGTGTGAAACGGGTAACCGTCCGTGTTTGGGTTGGGGCGAGTTCGAAAAGGTCTGCGTAATCTGTCGAAACATCCCATCGTCTGTCAAAGCCATTAAAAGATGCCCCGCAGATGAAAATAAGATACTTACCTTTGGAGAGAATTCAACCATGTATTGCTAAATTTGTCTGACGGGGTCAGAAACTCATTTTCAAGCTCTGTTAGCAACTCTTGGGGACTCTGAGGAGCTTGCTTCCGAGCTTGGAAGTTGTCGATCTTGCCATTCTCTTCGTCTGCAAGACGAGCATCGAAGGTCAGGGGGTCGAAGGGTTCGCCTTCTAGGCCTAAGTTCTTCATTGTGGAATCCAGAGAGCCAGCCATAGTGTTAGTCAGTGTATGGGGAGTCAACCGGTGGGTGAAATTATGTCGACGTTTGACTCGGCTGAACCCCACACCGATATGTGGATATATCGATACGATTTCAAGTCCTGGTGGAAAACAGGAATCAATTGTTCTCCGAAGAGCAAAAGGAAAAGCTAACGGATGAGAGTGAGCGTGAAGAATTACTTGGAATTGATCAGCAACCACCTTGGCAGCCTGTTGTTGTACTCTCGTAAACTTCTCCGAGCGGCATTAAAGGCGGTACAGCCTGGCAGTATCCATGACGTCGATGCCCAGGTGTGGGGTTCTACTCATTTGACTACAACATACATGCACGAAACCCGACTCCTTCGACTCCTGGTGTCAAAGCATTCCCACTTGCGCTCAACCATACCTGAAACCCTTTTACTCCAACAGCGTGGGTACTTCCTATGCTAGTCCTACAGTCTCCATCACCTAGTTAGCTGACCGACTTATAATGTGTTTGCGCTACAATAGAAGTAAATCTTGAAGATAGGGGAAACACCGTACTCTAATGCTCTATTTTGAGCTCTAGGTGCGACAAGAGCATAAATTCGGAGATCACAGTAGATATGTAGGGTCTAGCTAGTATATACGCAGGGGCTGAGGGGAATACCTCAAGTTTAAGCTTAAGTTCAGGCTTGACATCGATAGGGACAGCAACTGCAATAACTACTGCATCCTGGTCGACGAACCCTACGTCGGGGTCTGCAAATAAGTGCTCCATTCTACTCTATGTATATATTTTCAAAGCTAAGGCCAATCTCTGGCGTTGGCACCCCGCGTACCGCGACCGTGTTGTATGCAAATCGTGTTATTCCATGTGGAAATTGAATGTGAATGGGAAGGATCTAGGCGAAAAGGATGAGGTCAGGTGCGCAGTATGTTATATTACATTTACGAACAACTAGGACCGTCCAGTAAACCCAACCCGAAAAAGATGGCAGGAGACCAAAAAAACCAGCCAATGCTTGGTCTTTCTTGTCCCATATCTTCTGCGAGTCCAAGGTAGAGACTTCAGATTGAAGACTGTTGTGGATCGCAAATTCCAAGAGCCCTGAATATATACCAGAATCATTGACTTGTCAGATCCTCCTCTGATTTCCATCCTTCTCAAGTATGATCTCTATGATCTCTTGTTAGCTGCCCTAGACAATGACATAATTGCTGTGAAGCAATTGGTCTTGAGACGGGTAATCTACCTCGATTTGTCGGGCCCTCGCCTATTATTCAGATAGGTTCTGTTTGTAATAGAGAATACAACAATCCTCCCCTTTCTTGTCATTTGCCCTGAGGCTCCATTTGTGGCATCATCCATGACTGTGGAGTCAGTAAGAACTGGGTGGTCCTGATGACTCCGTTGAAGTGTAATGGCGAGTTTGGCGAAAGGCGAGAATCACTGGGCGTGGGATGCGAGAGAAGACCAATGGTTAAGACTCATTCCCGGCGAGGAGGAACGCCGGAGGATATTTGTTAGTTCCGACCCAAGGATGGCGAGTGATTCATCATACCCGGTCGTGCTGGATCGTACTGATTTGAAAACAGCAGTCCAGAGCTATACAGTCAGTTGTTACAAGAGAGACGACGGGAAGGTAATGCTTTACGTGACCATCGCCGACGGAAACGTATTCTTCTTTCCCTAGGCAGACCTACCTTCCGGGGTAGTCAATCAGCGTAAAAAACTCTAGAATATAACGACTCGATAGGTCTTCGATCAAAAAACACTGTCTTATTTGTGGGTTGGGTTAGAATGGGAAGTCGAGACACTTTCTGGTGAATTTTCTCGCCCCAACGAACGCTTCCTGGTAATGAAATAAAACTATTAGTGGTAAGCGAATATCGACGGCTTAAAGCTATACGATAAATTACACAGGAAAATGGAAAAGGTGGGTATGAAGCAAGATAGCAAGTCTGTTAAAGAAAGAGTAAAGTTGCCTAATATGAGCTAGTCCCATACTTGGCCTAGGAACAACAAACAATCATGCAGCAAGATTACGCATCAATAAGGTTGGTATTCTGCTGCGCAGTGGTATCCTGCTCCTCGCCCGAGTTGTCGCGGGTATCCTTGCTAGCAACCTTGCGAGCGGAACGGGCGTAAAACTCATCAAGAGTACGCTTGGGCACACGGTTTAGGAGCTCCCTTGGGTAAATTCGGAGTAGATTCCAGGCGATGTCCAGAGACTCGTAAATGCTGCGAGATTCGTGGGAAGGTTGGCTAATAAATGTACGCTCGAACTTTTCCAGGAACTCCAGAGAAAGTTTATCTTCGGCAGAGAGGGCTTCTTCGCCAACAACGGCCTTCATAGCGGCTAAATAGTAAATCCCGTTAGAATGACGAATATAGTGAGGATAGACAAAAAAAGACATACCAGCATCACGACCGATAGCGTACTTCGCGTAGAGCTGGTTAGATACATCTGAATGATCCTTACGCGTGCGGCCCTCGCCAATAGCAGATTTCATGAGGCGAGAAAGTGACGGTAGAACGTTGATCGGTGGGTATATACCCTTGTTAGCCAATTGGCGGTCAATGAAAATTTGCCCTTCCTATATAGAATATTAGTTGCTAGTCTCTTCTAAACGAGAAGGACAAACGAAACCGTAATAAAACCTGTCAAATCGGGGATCGGATGCGTGATGTCTTTTTAGAAGAAGGAACATGTTAGTTGAGCAAGAACAAAGTCAAAGATAAGGAGAGGAGAGCCCATACCATCGTTAGGCATAGTCAAAATCGGGATCTGAGTAATAGAACCATTACGACCCTCAACACGACCAGCACGCTCGTAGATACTCGCCAAATCCGTATACATATAACCAGGATAACCACGGCGGCCAGGGACTTCTTCACGGGCAGCAGAGACTTCTCGTAGAGCATCACAATAAGCCGAGAGGTCAGTCATAATAACAAGAACGTGCTTCTCGAGCTGGTAGGCGTAGTATTCAGCAGTTGTCAAAGCTAAACGAGGAGTGATAATACGCTCGATAGTCGGATCGTTGGCTAAGTTCAAGAATAGAGTAGTACGCTCCATACTACCGTTTTCTTCGAACTCACGAGTGAAAAATCGAGCGGTCTCCATATTAACACCCATAGCAGCAAAAACGATGGAGAAGTTCTCTTCGTGGCCATCATGGACATCCTTAGTAGGCCGAACTAGACTCGCCTGTCTAGCGATAGCCGATGCGATCTCGTTATGAGGAAGACCGGCGGCGGAGAAGATAGGAATCTTCTGACCACGAGCAATCGAGTTCATAGTATCGATAGCAGAGATACCAGTAGAAATCATCTCCTCAGGATAGACCTAGAGAATTTGTTAGCTTAGAGTATATATAAAGTTGACAGTAGTATATACCCGGGTGTAGGGGTTAATAGGCTGGCCGTTGATGTCCAAGTAGTCTTCCGCAAGTACTTTGGGGCCCTTGTCGATTGCACGTCCTGAACCATCGAATATACGGCCTAGCATGTCCTCAGACACACCAAGTTTCAAACTGTGACCAGCGAACTCGACTTTAGTCTAATTCTTATTGTCAGTAACTCTTGAAGTGAATATTTTTTTCATAAGGTTTCTTACCTTCTTCACATCAACACCCGAAGTGCCCTCAAACACCTAGAAACCCAGTATACTGTTAACGTCCATCCATCACGGTTAAATATATCGGAACGGCATTCGTCTCGGGTCATACCTGCACAATAGCTCGGTTTCCTATAGTGAACATCGCAGAGGTCAGCAAACTATTTTATGGGAAGCTTATAGTGGGCACATAAGTGCCACAACAGGTCGGGGAGCTTACCGCTAGCCTCCAACACTTGACCGGAACGCTCCGTGCCATCGGGCAGTGTCAGTGAGACAATTTCATTGTAGCGGGGGAATTTGACCTATATTGCGGCACATTATATCAGCACATAGCTCCATTTCTTGTGCCAGACTGTCCCTAAAGCTCTCACATTGTCGAGGACGACCAGCGGTCCGTTAATGCCTCCAATGGTGTTGTAGCGGATGCGGGGCTTGACGCTGGCCATTCGGGGGTCAATAAACCCGGGCATGGTGAGTGAATCAGATCTTCAACAAGCAGGGTGCGAGGATACAGGGTTGGATAGGAGTCGAGTACAGCGGCATGAGCTGGCCACGCTGTTTGCCGGAGCTCGGGCGGTGACGGGTCACGTGATAGCCTACGACTCCCAATGTTGATAGCGTATGGCCTCCCGAGATAGAGGTCCCAGCACAATTTTTGGTTAGTGCAATAGGGCTTTATTCTCTGTTTGTATGAGGTCAAAAGTTTTGGGAGATGTTTGGGAGAAATTATTCACGCAAGAGGCTTTTGGCTCACCAGGATGATACGTCAACCGACATATTTTTGTTATATCGTGTTTTCAACTGACTCTTGTTTTAGTTTAGAACATATCAACTGATGAAGGTCTGATTGGCTGTAAAATACAACGATACCAATGTGCATGCCATAGCGCGACGAATTTTCAGAGCCGCACAGCATCATAAAAATACCCTTGAGATGTTTATACCATAATGTGCTTTGCCGAGGATATTTTGAGTCTGGTGTGTTTTGATTAATGACCCCCAATCAAATCAAACACATGGGATTTTCCAGGCTGTTGGCCAATGTATCATTTATTTCAATTTATGTAATAACCACACGAATTTTAGGTCAACGCATGGATTGTACGGAGGAATTGTAAATTTGTCTCGATGATTTGATTAAGCTTCTTCGTGGGCTACCTAATATATATCAGACAGGATTGTAATGAAAATTGTCACCGTTTTCCCCGCTATTTTAGGACACCAACTCATTTAAATCGTGATATTTATCGTTGTTAAGTATAAAATTTGCTTATATATATTTGTACAAAGTGGTCTAGTGACATGGAGAAGAACATGGGAAGACTGATAAAGTGGGCGGATCAAAACGACCTGCATAATCACACTTGACTCTTAAAGGTAGATCAAGCCAATGTAATTATTTTAGACGAAGAATAAACAATGAACTTGGATTTATTGAACATGGTGTGGTCTAAAGTGATATAATCTTGAAACAGACGAAGGATATGGTGGAAGAGTTACTTGCTGAATATCAAACTTATTGTATATGGGTTGTCAAAATATCAATACAAGTATACACGCGTGACCATGGGGTTGGAAATCTAGAGGTCTTCGCGTTCACTCAGCCGTGGTGAGTTAATAGTTGGGTGGGTGACCACCATCATGTTTTTGTACGTCTCAGACAAAATTCTCTTCTAGTTAAGTTTGTGATATTATAAAAGGTCGATACCTAATATAAGCTAATATCCTTATGTATTTATACTCCCCCTTAGTCTTTACTATATCCTTTATATAGCAATTTATAATTATATCTTATCCTAGTGTTTATACTGTATGGCCTTTATTGTTAGTATTAAGTTTCTAACTAGACCTCTCTTATGTAGATAATATATTTAATTATAAAGGCCAGATATGTGGATGGCGGGCTTAGATAGAACGGACTATGGGTGATCACGAGAGGTGGAGTTTCTTCTGGTCTGGATTCGGCGTGTTATTTTGTTTCTCAATCGTTTTCTCCCGAAATGGCCTCGTTTGCGGCTAAGATGTCTGAGTTCTCATGGAGTCTGCTTTGAATACGGGATGGTGTGTATAGGAGATATAAAGTCTAGCTGGCGTCGGATTGTTTGTGCAGATGGTATTTCCAGGCTCAGATCGGGAGATAGCCTCTTCTATTTACGCATCCACAGGGTCTTCCAGAGCCTCCTTCCTAGTCTCTCTGTTTTCAGTTTAAAGGTAGCAAAGACGGTAAACTGTGTAGAAGATTTTTCGATGTATAATCAAGGATCTTACATTTCGAGACTCCAATACGAGAACTCATACGGAGATTGCGATAATCGAGCCCGGAAGCCGTGCCCTTGATCGTATACAAAGTATACCGTATGGACCTAATCTAGCCAGCCAAGCTCCACAAGCTCAAACAACCATGAACTCCCCCAATGCAACCAAGTCGTCTTGGCAGAGCATGCCAAGACTATGTCTTACCCTGGGCCTTCATGACTGCATTCTGGTTGATCTCACCTGCAATGTGTATTGCCATTCGATTTTACTTACAAGGGGAAAACAGACGCCGAGAGCGACTCCTCGCCGAAACCGATACGGATTCTGACCAAGATAAGGTGATTGATTCTGGCGGCCAGCTTGTCCACATTGGTGATCGTGATCATGATAAGACTGATAGGGAAAACCTGAAGTTTTTGTATCCTCTGTAATCTCTTATCTTGTTCCCCCAAAAGGCCAGGGGTTGGGAATCTATTACATGATATATTGAAGATGGTATAATGCGAAGCAATTCACTGGTGGGGGAAATAAAGGAAAAGAGACCCTGCGCATTGCAAAGTCTACCTAGGTAGATATAGATATCAGCACTGTTTGAAAATGGGATTATCTAGTATCTAGAGTAAAGTGGATCTGAAATACTCAAGTTCTATATTAGTGGGTCGAAAATATTTCCATATTCCAAAATCAACAATTCACGCTGGGTACATCATATGTAGACAGTGCTCATAATCTAAAATTCGACATTGTTTAGGCGTTGTTTATTGAGCAAGTGGTCTCTTATATAGGATTGAAATAGTCTAAACTAGGCTTGCTAGGATACATGATTATATCTCAGATTGATACAGAGATAATGTCAGATAGCCCTTCACTTTTCCATGTATCAATAATATGTTATCGAAATATAGTAGCCCAGCCAAATCACAAATCTACGTAACTACCATGGCCTCTCATGATGTTGTATATCTACTTCTGAGCGGGACAAGCATGGCATCGAACACGTGATGCTATGACAACGATACATTCGAGTTATTTTCCCTTTTTCTAAGTTCAGACAAGATTGTATTGGCAGAAAGTAAATATATAAATGAACTTTTTGTACTTCAATCAGTCATACAAAAAAATGCGGATGTAGGATAAAAAAGACAAATTGGAGGAAGACAAGATGATGTACGCCCCTAAGCGCCAGAAGGGTATGTAGCATGAGAACGATTCCGTATGAGAAAAGGACTGACTTTGTTAGCAAGACAAGAGCGAATCCTAACAAGGAAGAGTCAATTAGTCCTCTTTTTGCAAAGTGAATACTGTAGACCATCCTTGTTTAGAAGTAGATCCGTTGTGCAGAGAGATTCGGACATTTGTAAAATCTGCATGATCATGATCAGAAGCGAGAAAGAAAATGAAGAAAAAAAGGAAATAGACCAATAAATCAAAGAGTAAGTCAAAAAGCAAATAAGAAGGTAAATGACGTTAGATAGGAGATCCCCGGAAACGCCATGCACAGAAATTTAACGGCAAGAGAAGATGGGGAATGTTTTCCGATCGTGAATGTTCAATGGGAATTCAAAAATCCCTTCCAATGTGGCGATATACCTGTAAATGTTAGTTTTATTCCGCAAATTTGCTGCATTATACACTCACAATGTGCGTCCATCGGCGCCCCAGCCAACCCCAGCAGTAGAATCTGGCTCCTCGGCGCCACAGCCATTCGTTGAATTTCGATCAGGAAGGTCATTGATTATGTTTCGGATCCAGCGGGGGGAGTGTGTCTGCTCAAACCCGAGAAGCTGTTGGCGATGCCGTTGTTCCCTTTCAAAGGAGCGGTTATGTACCTCGTTGGCAATCTGGCGCTGACGCCGAAGTCGTTCAGCAGCGACATTCGCACGGATCTCATATGTGGTGAGGCGTGAAGTATCATATCTTCTTTCCGCTCCGGTTTGTGGTCGTTCAATGCGCCGGGGAATGGAGCTTGATCGCTGGGATCGGTGGTTCAAGCCATGGATGTCTAGACTTGGATTAGAAGGTCCAGTCGCTTCAGTTGGAATGCTAGTTTCGTTGTTGGCCGATTCAGGATCGGCACCACCCCGGGAGATCATTTCTGACCTGAGGGGTGTAAGCTCTGAATGTGAGGTGGAATAACTTAGGGTAATGCCCGATTGGCGATCATGGGGGGACGTTGCTTCCGAAGGTCGGCTCCCTTGAGATACCACCACCGAGCTCTGGCGTCTTGGGTTGAATGCAGTGCGGCCCAGTTGGCTATCTCGGGAGACATCAGAAGGATCATAGCGATGCAGGGGTGAAGTAGGGCGATTAGTGCGAGTGGTACCATCTGTAGAACCGTGGTTTTGCGACCGAGCCGCTGATTGAGGTAGAAGGCTTGCCCTAGCCGGGCGCTCTGGTCTTTCAGTAAGTCCTTCTTCCAGCCGCGATGTCCAGCGTGCCGTGTTTAAAAACTCCATAATCAACCTTTCTCTCTCGGTAAGATCCTGAATCAAAGACTCTCGCAGAGACGAACGATCCGTTTGCTCTCCGTTCCGTTCAATCGGAAAATCTTCGTGGTCGAGTCTCACTCGTGGTGGCGTCTCCAGAAGATCATCTCCCAGCGGGTTTCGTTCGAGGTTCTCTGTCGAAAAGTCCGTGTACACTTCCTGCAGTTGAGGATCATTGGAATCTAAATGGAGGATTTGCCTGCGCATAAATTGTTGGCGAACATCGGCCACGCCAGCTCTGCCGTGGGCCTCCAGCCATACAAGAAGGTCCCATGGCTCGGGCGAAAAGGCCATACATCGAACGGCACCTCCCTCAGCGCATGATCTTGACGCCGAGAATTGGCAAAGAACAGCGGAGTCGCCATCGGAGTCGCCAAAGTTCTTGTAGATGGACTCGACGTTGATAATCGTGATGATTCCAGATTGGGACCCGATGGCACACAAGCGACTGGATGGCGAGAAAGCGACGGTGAAGCAGCATGCATCATCCGCCCGCAGGCCAATGTCCATCTCCAGGCGATTGATAAGCTCCCATTCCCACCCCGTGAGCTTCTCTCCAGATTCAGTTGTCCCAGAAGATTCCAAATCGCGAGTGATTTCATAGAAGTAGGCGTGATTCTCATCCCCTACTGCTGTGAGCAGTTTAGAGTCAGGAGAAATTGTCGCATAGTTCATACATGTCGAATGATGAAGAACCTTCAAGACTTTCGCGCGAGTCAACGAATACACTGTGACTGTCCGATCATTATTGCTAGTCATGAGTTAGCATGGTCATCACACGCGAATTTTCCGACCAGCGCCTACCTCAGTACCACGACATCTTCATCAGCCAAATTTTCGCTGTCGCCATAGAAGCGATGGATGGTCACTGAGTTGACAATACTCCCACCGAACTTGTGGAGCTCTACTTCGGGGGAGGACCTGCTGCTCCGATACCGGGTTGGCGCAGATTCGCCATCGAAATCCCCCGAAGGCATGCTTGGCCGCGGGTCGAGATCGAGGGGGAGTGCAGTATCTACATCAGTCTGGAAAGGCGCATCGCTATGGATCTGCATTCCGCGATCGCCGATGCGTATGAAAGCACATTCGCCATTTTCTGGACCCCCCACTACTATCCAACCATGTCCAGCGACCAGACAGCGCGGTTCAAATGGGATGACCGCTACAGTCTCGCGCTTTTGTCCCGATATGTGTATTGAATACACGATTCTCTCGACGACGACATAAATGCGATCGGGGTCCGCAGTACTAATGTAGTTGCGAAGCTGTGTGTGACTAAAAGAAAGCTCTCTTTGGTTAGGTCGCGCACGGAAGATAAGCGGATTAATCAACGAACAAGTTAGGGATCTTGAACGGGAAGAAGCGTTGCTTGTTCGGTAGGATGAGAGCCTCGGTTGGGCGATGTCTAAGACAGCGTTAGAGGTGTTTCCGAAGTAGGATGCAGCAGGCTTACAGCAGAGTCGAATCCGAGGTCATGGTGGATAAAGCTAAGCCAGAGATGACATTGTTCGAGCGGGGAAGTTTTGTAGACAAGAGAATCGGGGGCCCCCGGTTGGATTCCGTCAACAGTTAGACAACAGACACTTTGTTTTTTTTTTGTTCCTCTTGAATAAATTTGCTTTTGATTAGTCTGTGCTCTGCAGTGTTCAGAGTCAAACTGCCCAGATGCTTTTATTGGATGACGTAAGACTTGAGACTGGGACAAAAAGCCGGGGAACTGTGAATTCCAACGAATGCGGTTGGACAGTTACTCCGGAATCGGCGTTGGCCATTCATGATGATGCACTACACTATTTATATGATTTTGGGTTATTTTTTCCGACATTCACCTATAAACAAACATTGTAGAAGATCCTACATAGTTAGCCCTATATACGGAGTACTCGAATAGTACACAGTATTCACCTTGTTGCCACCCAAGTCACTCCTAGTGCTAACAATCTAGACCAGGCATTGTACTCCCCCCAAAGTACATGGATTCGTTATTAAACATCTAGACCAGGCATTGTTCTCCCCCCCAAAGTACATGGATTCGCTATTGAACATCTAGATCCAGGCGGACTTTTAGCCCTATCTTCAATCTTGTCTCAGGTTCAGCCAAATCAACGAAGGGGAGTTTACCGACCAGGTCACACGACACATTGAGAGTATGACTAGTTCACCCACTGGAGATACATGACTGTCGCAACTGCTATGAGGAAGAAATGCTTATTGCAACAGCTCTTTTGCATGGTTTTTGTTGAAATATGACACCAGATATCGTATATATGGACCTCGGGAGTAGCTCGGAGTTGAGTGTTTGCCACCGCGGAAGGATATGCCATTGAAACTGCCACCTCGATGGGCAAGCAAACTATTAACTATGTTGTATGAGATATACAGTCTACGCTGCCATGTTTATCTCAACTTACTTGTTATATCTTAAGACATCTCAATAGATCTCAATCTATCTTAATTTATCCCATTTATCCCAGTATATCCCAATGTATAGCCGCATATACGGCACCAACAAAGGCGGTGAGGTCGGTTACCTAGGAGGCCATCAACGCCAAATCCCTTCCTGATTGGTCAGATCCCGTGATTCTACCAAGTTCGACGGGCCGAAGCTCTCCGTGCAATTTCTATTTCCTTTTCCCCTTCTTTTCGATTCCATCTCTCCATCTCCATCTCTTCAATCCCTTCTTCTGTCCTTTTATTACTTCACGATTGAGTCGTTGGAGTTTCTCTTTTTCTCTTTTTATTAATTAATTTATCACAATGCTTCCTCGCACAATCACTCGCGCAGTAAGCTTTCCCTTTCTCCCCGAGGAAAAATTCACGCGTCACAGATCACTGACTCAGTCTTTCACAGCTCCCGCGCGCTGCTTTCGCTCGCACTCCTGCCTCCAGACTCCCTGCCTCATTCCGGAGATGGAACTCCACAGAGGGTGGCGAGGAGAAGGTAAAGGGCCAGGTCATCGGTATTGATCTCGGTAAGTCACGGCGCAAGATGAAAATCAACATTCAATGACGACAACATTCTAATATTGTTTATTATAGGTACCACCAACTCCGCTGTCGCTGTTATGGAGGGCAAGTCCCCTAAGATCATTGAGAACGCCGAAGGTACGTGAGCAGAAATTTCAACCGGGGACAAGTGGTCGGAGCTTTGGATCTTGAAAATTCACAAGACTTTCACCCACGGTCTAATGGGCTCAAATGGAATTGAAATTAACCCATTTATTCAACAGGTGCTCGCACTACTCCCTCCGTTGTTGGTTTCGCCCAGGATGGTGAGCGCTTGGTCGGTATTGCCGCCAAGCGTCAGGCCGTTGTCAACCCCGAGAACACTCTGTTCGCTACCAAGCGTCTGATTGGTCGCAAGTACACCGATGTTGAGGTTCAGCGTGACATTAAGGAGGTTCCCTACAAGATCGTCCAGCACACCAACGGCGACGCCTGGGTCGAGGCCCGTGGCCAGAAGTACTCTCCTTCCCAGGTTGGTGGCTTCGTCCTCAACAAGATGAAGGAGACCGCCGAGGCCTACCTCGGCAAGCCCGTTAAGAACGCCGTCGTTACTGTCCCCGCTTACTTCAACGACTCTCAGCGTCAGGCTACCAAGGATGCTGGTCAGATTGCCGGCCTGAACGTTCTCCGTGTCGTTAACGAGCCTACCGCTGCTGCTCTTGCCTACGGTATGGAGAAGGAGGCTGACCGTGTCGTCGCTGTCTACGATCTCGGTGGTGGTACCTTCGATATCTCCGTTCTTGAGATCCAGAAGGGTGTCTTCGAGGTCAAGTCTACCAACGGTGACACTCACCTTGGTGGTGAGGATTTCGATATTCACCTCGTCCGCAACATCGTCGCCGAGTTCAAGAAGGAGACCGGTGTCGACCTTACCGGCGACCGTATGGCCATCCAGCGTATCCGTGAGGCCGCCGAGAAGGCCAAGATCGAGTTGTCCTCTTCCCTCCAGACTGAGATCAGTCTTCCCTTCATCACTGCCGGCGCCAGCGGTGCTTTGCACATCACCCAGAAGATGACCCGTGCTCAGCTCGAGGCTCTGGTTGACCCCCTTATCAGCCGCACCACTGAGCCCGTCCGCAAGGCCCTGAAGGATGCCAACCTCCAGTCTGGCGACATCCAGGACATCATCCTTGTCGGTGGTATGACCCGTATGCCCAAGGTCACCGAGTCCGTCAAGGGTATCTTCGGCCGTGAGCCCTCCAAGTCCGTCAACCCCGACGAGGCTGTTGCCATCGGTGCCGCTATTCAGGGTGCCGTCCTGGCTGGTGAGGTCACTGATGTTCTCCTGCTCGATGTCACTCCTCTTTCCCTCGGTATCGAGACTCTCGGTGGTGTCTTCACCCGTCTGATCAACCGCAACACTACCATCCCCACCAAGAAGTCTCAGACCTTCTCTACCGCTGCTGACATGCAGACCGCTGTCGAGATCAAGGTCTACCAGGGTGAGCGTGAGCTCGTCCGTGACAACAAGATGCTCGGAAACTTCCAGCTTGTTGGCATTCCCCCCGCTCACCGCGGTGTCCCCCAGATTGAGGTCACCTTCGACATTGACGCTGACTCCATCGTTCACGTCAATGCCAAGGACAAGTCTACCAACAAGGACCAGTCCATCACCATTGCCTCCGGTTCCGGTCTTTCCGATGCCGAGATCCAGTCCATGGTCGAGGAGTCCGAGAAGTACGCTGAGACTGATAAGGAGCGCAAGGCCGCCATTGAGGCCGCCAACCGCGCCGACAGCGTCCTGAACGATACCGAGAAGGCCCTCAAGGACTTCGAGGACCGTCTTGACAAGGCTGAGGCCGAGACTATCAAGGAGAAGATTGCTACTCTCCGTGAGTTTGTTGTCAAGAGCCAGTCTGGCGAGAGCACCACCACTGCTGAGGAGCTCAAGGAGAAGGTCGATGACCTCCAGACTGCCAGCTTGACCCTCTTCGACAAGATGCACAAGGCCAACAACGAGCAGCAGCAACAGCAGCAGCCTGGCTCTGAGCAGCAGGGTGAGAACAAGCAGTAAATGCTTTTCTCTCTATAACTGCCACACCTGAACCGTAAATGGTTCCTGTATTTTTTCTACCAATTTCCTTTTTCTTTTTTCCTTTGTGTTCAGAGACTCCCTGATTTTTGCATCTCCTTTCCTCGCATTTACCTGTACACTTACTTTCAAGGCCCTTTTTACCCCTTTGCGTTTTCCGGTGTATCGGTGTTAAAACTACCACACCCATGTATGATCCTATATTCTTTTCTCTTCTGCCCTTGTGTCACTGTTCCGGGTATCGTCTGGAAGTGTCACGCCGGGATTGTCTTCAATTGTATCTAATGACATTACGGCAGGGGGGCCACAAAAAAGGATGTGGTAGGCTTTGGTTTTCATGGGCATGTGACAATAGAAATCGGACAATTCTCCTCTCGCTTCACAATTATTTTCTTCCAACTCCCAATTGTAGATTCTAATTGTATCAACGTTATCGAGCAACGTGCATGTTCACCTAGGAATGTACATGTGTGGTTTTCACCTATCTGCAAGCGACACGCTCAAGTTGCAACATTCACTGCCTCACGGATGCAGACATGGTTGCTTCCGGCCTATCAGCTTCCAACTCCACATACATATGTGCATGTAGGTACTTGATACCGGCCAACCCAGACTTCATAAGCACCAAGGCAAACAACACAACACACTGGTCGAGTCTCACTGCAATATGATAGGCATTCTCTCTCTCTCTGCAGTATGTAACCCTTTGCACTCGCACACTGCATATGGCATGATATTATGGTGTTGGAAATCATAATAGTACAGGAAAGTCGCCCGCTAATGTTGTATGTGGCTTGACGGCGCAGAGATATAGATCCAATTCATTTGACTAAAGATGACGCAAAGTGCGTTATATTAGGATAAAGCTACCCCGTACGTCTTTTTGGGATGATTTCCCCCTTCTCCGTGTTACATCTAGAAAGGCATGAAAAAAGTCGGTAAAAACGCATAAATCTTACATGTCTTTTCTGCGGAGTATGTACGGAGTACATGTACTCCACATAGACAGGGATATATAACCAGGGATATCGCACACAACCAATAGAAGCAATAGCGGCCAAGCTGACCATGATTGCGATGTACATAACTAGTAGTAGCAGTGGCTATTATTATCCGAGATACATTTTAACGCAGTCAATAAGCATATTGGCACTGGACTCACAGCATCATGTCCACCGCAAAGTCAAATATCTGGAGCAATGACAACGATGATAGGCTAGAAGCTCCCAACTGGCGCACGGGTTTTGACCCTTAGTCCCGCTAGAATACACGTTGAGCCAGTCACTTGAAACTGTATGGCTTTCAATCGCACCAATCTACTAATGGCATCTGTGAATCCACTCTGCTACCATCGTAAGGTTTGAACTGCAGCCCATTTGGTTAGACCAATGGTCTCTACGGAGTATAGTCTCGTCATCCTTGCATTATCCACAGGGAATCAAGGCTAGTTTACTTTGTACTCTTACTACGGAGTACTCCGTAGTGAATGACAGGATCTCGGTCGAGAGGAGCTAGGATTAGAGAAGGTATGAGAGGGGGGAGGGGGGCATAATGGGGGTAGCTAGGTACAAGCTTCTATTGTGTGTCTCTTGTGCCCCTTAACTTTAACAATGCCTAGGACAATTGCCCTTGATAACTATATTGAATCCTTAAATTGAACAAAGAAGAAACAAGATTTCGCCCTACATTAAAACAAGAACACGAAAAAAGCAACGCTTCTGCATCAGGCCAATCTGGACTCGAGAGGCTGGTGACAGAGCGAAGCAATCGTGCAGGCTTCCCTGCAGTGGTGCGGTCAAGCAGCAAATCATCGTTGTACACACCAGTTGGGCTGCCACAGTGGGTCTTTTCCAATTGATGTTTGTAAATAATAATTATTTCTAATAAGATTATATACGAGGCGTTGTGGGGGGTTCAATGCAAAACATTTGAAATAGACAGGGGGGAAGAGAGATGACTGATACAATCTAATATGTACGTGCTATTGTTCTAGATTTGTAAATATAACCACTATTAATTAGTACCACATTGGATATTGTATAGTACCGATCAACATCTGAAGTGTAAGATGACTCTTAAATTAAATCCCGGTGCAACTAGAAAATTTTCAAACGCCCACATAGGTTTTTCCTCGACCATTCGTCGATCACTTCTTGTGTGAGACCATCTGCGTTAGCGTGCCCCTAGTACGTATGATTATTTCCATTTCCCCACTCTGTTGACATGGTGTTTTTATTTTATTTCCTTCTAGGGCTCTTTTTTCCCTTTTTACCTTTGCTTCCTATTTGTACAAGCTACGCCCTGGCGTTTGCTGCAGACCCATAGCCATCAGAGAAAATACACCCAAGTCACTTGAGCAAAAAGGTCCATACAAGACCCATATTCTAGCTTACGATGTACAGTTCGGGGGCACTAAATATGTGGGTTGGTATTTCCTTGATTTCCAATCCCCGGGCTTTGAAAATATTCCATAGCTGATAATGTATTTGTTATTGCTGATCGTATGAAGTTTGTTGTACGGAGTATATAGGGAATGATTCCGGATACTAGGAGTGGGTTAGCTTTAATGACAGAGAAGAAGATACATAACAAAATCAAATAGATTGATGCCACCAAACAATAATATGTGGAGAGCAATGTATCAGACAAGAATGATAGGGTACAACATACGGAGTACATGGACATCACTGGAAGTGTCGAGGGACATTTTAAGATCCATTGCGATTCTTCCCGCTTCTATGGCTACCATGGAACTTGTCAGGAACAAGTTCTCCCCCTGTGTTACATAATGATCTCCAGGATGAGCGCACCCTTGGCAGTAATGGGGTAGATCTGTTGCTTATTATTGGACGGTTCGTCTCGGTATTAAGTAGCTGGCAGATGGGAGAAAAATTCAATCCCGGAGGCTCTGATTCGAGGCTTTGGCTATCGAGTTTAGCTTTGTTTTTTAGGGTCAAGGGTCAAGAGGTAAATACAATCCTTGATAATACACTCTAATAAGGTACTTTACTCCTACCTTCTCTGGGGAAAGGGACCTAAGTACGGAGTAATTGAAAATATCCTTAAAAACCTGAATATTACCCATTAATGATATTACTTTAAAATCATACTCCGTAGTCTCGAACCAATGACGCTTATAGGGCGACTGCAGTCAGAATTTTTAGACTTGTCATGTTTAGACTCCCCCCTGAAGGAGATGTCAAGTGACTATTTTCTTTTTCTTTTTTCTTTTTCTCTCTTTTTTTTCAATTTAGAAATGCCGATCATTGGTCCGGTAGATTAGGATCCATTCTGATCCAAAGGAAATGAACTTTAGGGCTCAGATTGTGATTTGATTACATGGCTAGCGTCGTGCCAATTCCATGGATGAGTGGTTGTCTTTTTGGTTCTGGGGCTCCATCGACCACTCGGGAAATTAAAAAACATGCTTTTTTAGGATTATATATAGTTTGTAGGTTAGTTATATATTTGATGCTATTGTTTTATTATACAACCTATCCAATATTCTATTCAATAATACCTCTAGGGTTACTAGATAAGTCTACGATCAATCACAAAGATCCCCTGAGATGATCCCCTTACGCCGTTAGGGGAATTTTCAAGATAACGGGGGTGCAGAAGGGTCACGCTAGTGGAAGAGTCATTTCTTATTTTCTATTATTATATTATTATAATATTATATTATTTGACATTTATTATTATTATTATTTTTCAACTATTTTCACTGTTTTTTTTCAATATTTTATTATTATACACAGATTATAGTTAGCTCTCTCTGAATGTCAATCCTTTCCAAACCGTCGACCCATAGATCGGATATGGGTCCCTTTAGATTGTCTCATCCTGTTTTCTTTTCTTTTTAGTTCCCTTTCCATTTTTGACTTCTTCATACTCTCTTCTTCAGCTTTTGGTGGAGGTTTCTAAACTTTATAACCTCTAGCACTTCATCTATAACGATGACAACTGCACAGCCGGTGCATCACCCTGGCCCCGATAGTGGTATACCCGGCCATCTCGTCAATCATCTTCCTCGCTACCATCCCATTGCCATGAATCCAAATCCGCCTCCACACCAAATGCCACCTCCGGAGCAGATGGTGCAGAGCCACCATTTCCGTCATTTCGCACCGCCTATGCATGAACATCATCCCCCAGGAGTACCACCAGTACACAGTCCAGCTTCTTTGGAACATATCGAAGCTCGACTCCGGCATCTAGAGCATGAGGAAATGGCTCGGAATGCAACCCGCAGTCGCATTCTGGCAATGCGCAAGCATGAAGACGAGGAATTTCGGTCAATGACGGAGCGAGCTGAAGCAGAGGAAGAGGTAAGCCGAATTTTGATGCCCACAGTCAGGAATTGGAATTCTAAAACAAGCTTCACAGGACCTTCGAAGACAACGCAAAAAGTTAAAGAGAGAGTCTATGGGCCTGGGGCTCAATGCCGCAAGTGACTCGCCGCCTCTACGGCCCACACCACCTCGCCGATTATCAGAGACCAGTGCAGCAACAACATTGGCTTTCTTCAAGCAGCAGAGTCCCCCCGAGCCCCGACAAGCACCCCTTCCACCTTCATCTCAGGCACCACCTCCCTCAATGCCGCCACCCCATATGCACGCTCAACCTCATCATCAAGCTCCCCCGCCTCCCCCACCATCTCAGCATCAACACCCAATGCTTCCCCATGAGTCAATACACAGCGCAGGCTCCATCCGCCGCAAGCAAAAATACACCATCAAAAACGTAGAGGCATGGGGCGAACGCCACGGCCGCCCAGCAGCCCACGACCCATCCGGGCGAGCATTGTGGAAGCGACCCTCAGACGGAAGTCTAGTATATCTCACATGCCCAATCCACGGGTGCGGGAAATCCGACTTCGTCACCCTGCACGGCTTCATGTGCCATCTCACCAAGAAACACAAAGACCGCACTCTGGGCAGCCAGTCGCGCGCCCTGGAAGTCTGCGGTGTAGTCTACGACCCGAACGCTCCGCTCCCACCAGTCATGAACAGCCACCGGGCCTCAACAGAAGGAAGTCCTTTGGGCTCTATTCCCCTGGACCACGACGGTGACCAGCACTACGAGGACATGGACTCGGATTCCGAAGGCGAGCTCGAGCGCGAAGGCTCCTACCGAGTCAAAACCGAAGTTTTAGATCGATTCATGCCAGACGCAGAGGGCACTCCCATTGAATCCGCCGCGGCAACACCACCCAAGCACGCAATCAACGGATCAACAAAGCAATCCATCTCGTCTATTATCGACCGCACCCCCGAAACAGAATCCAGAGAGGCGTTGGCCACACTTCCACCGTCGGAAGCTGGTATCCAGGGTCCATCACCTACACCAACTGAGTCGTCTGTGCCGTCGAAGCGCAAGTACGAATTCTCGCCGCCTGCGGAAAAAGAAAACGCGGAGCCTTAGTGCTGTCCTTGCGGAGTAATGTCTATCTTCAATGTCGATTTCCGCCGGCTATACATATATACACCTACATAATTTCTTGAGCGTCTACGCATTATCGCTCTCGATATGATAATCAATTGCATCATGTTACATCTATATCTCTTTGTTTCTGTATCTGGGGATTGAAATGCTATCTGAGAGCATGTGTCTTGTTGTTCTACATACCCTTTCATGTTACCTGGGTGGGCTTCGTGTCTTCTGTTTTGTTTGATATAGCAGCTTGACGCTGCGCGTGGTTACCATATAATCTGTACCTATATAACCAATCGCATACATACACGATATCGATTAAAGAAGAACATTTATAGCAGACTTTGTGTGCTTGATGGTTATCATCTGTCAGGCATGTTTTCTTTCTGATATTCTTAGGTGTGCAAGTGGATGAGCAGGTAGCACACGTACACGTGGATGCGATAGTACTGTACGTCGAGGGACAGCTTTGATGTAATACCACTTGAGGTTGTGTGATGAGAGTAAGATTCATCGAGCGTGGTCTGCAGGATGAGAAGACAATGCTTGAGGCTGGAAGCTCAGCTATCCCGGCGAGCTCTTCGAGTGAGGATACGCGCAGTGAGCTACCGAGACTTCAGAATATGAAGTCTCCCTCCGATGCGCCTACTCAGGATACCGGCAAGCTTTATTGGTGGTCTGGAGCGTGTTTAGTAGTTTATCTGAAAGATATCAATCATATCGAAACATTCATGAATATCAGAAGTCTGCAACCTAGATTCATGTTCCTGTCAGTCTGATTCCCCTTCAAAGATACTTCGGGCTCAGATCGAAAAAGGTTGCTCCAATAGCCAGGCTAGTCATAGTCATCACTGTGCGTTGTACCTGGTTCAAGTACAAGGGGAGTTTGAGCCTCTAAGTTGGCTACCTAAACAGCATGCCTCCCCAAAGTATATAAACAAAACCACCCTATATGTACTTATGTTTAATCTACAGTTGTACTTC